CGTGCGATGTGAAATAATTAAGAAACAAACATCAAACAATTTCTATAGTTAATTAAAGTTGCTAAAAACCGTAATAAAATTTACCGTAACCAAACAAATTACTTAGCAAGTATTTTATAATGAACTCAAATTGTCTTTTTTTGTGTTCACATTGTGTAATTTTATATCATAGATTATAAAATTTAAAAAGATACGAAATGTTATATGAATTATAAAATTTATTTTTAACATTGGTACACCATTAAGTACCATTTAGTACTGAATAGAATAACTATATGTGAGATATCCCGAAGTTACCGAAAACAAGAGAAAATCATTCTTCATTGTAAATGTGAGGTATCAAATTGATTTCTGAACGATACTTTCTAATAGATCTGTCTCGCTCTTTCTTCAACTTCCCTCTCTTGCTCTTTGGATCTGTGCAAGAGTACATGTGCTCAATAAAAAATCCTTATTAATTAATTTAGTGGTTTATTTCATACTAGCTGTTGCTCGCGACTTCGTCTATGAATAAAAAAAAAAATTAAAAAAGCATATAATAGCCTGTGTTACTTAGTTTTAACATAGCTTTTATGGTGGAAGAATTTTTGAAATCGTCTTAGTGGTTTTTGAATTATTTCAATACGTACAAAAATCTAAAAATACAAATCTTTCCACTTTATAATATTAGTATAGATATAAAAGTGAAGAATACTAGTTTCGTATTTATAAACAAAAAAACTATAGATTTACAAATTAATTTTGTCTACTTTATTTAAAGACTAGCTGTTGCTCGCGATTTCGCCCGCGTGAAATAAAAAAATAAAAAAACAAAGCCTATGTTAGTCACTGATAACTCAGCTTTTTAATGGTGAAAGAATTTTTGAAACCGGCCCAGTCAATTTTTGAGTTATTTCAATACATACTAAAATACAAACCTTTCCTCTTTATAATATTTATAGATTATGGAATATTCAAATTAATTTAAACACAAGGATATACGAGCCTCGAATTCAGGAAAATCCATTCTATTTGATAATGATATATGTAATTTATTACGTTAATAATTAAATTCAAACGTAGTAGACCTCGAATCGAATGAATTATTGCAACAGAAATTGTTTCGCTTTTGTTGTGTTAATTTATTAACAAACTTAGCGTCTGAACTCGCGTGATATCTTACTTATGACCTGGTTATATAAATTTATTACTTCAGATAAAGATATTGTAAATCCGATAATTTGATTTGAAATATATAGAATTTTATTTATAGCGTTATATGGACTTGTGCGATCAGACGATGGGGACATAAACCAGAATGTGGATGGCTACAAAGGTAGAGGAAGACCGAAGAAAGTATGGTTGGATTGTGTGAAAGAGGATATGCTTAAGAAAGGACTGATAGAGAAGTACGAAGGAGCACATACTGTGCCGACCCTCCGTAAAGGATAAGGGCAAGTGGATGATGTGGATGATGATTTTGAATTTTATTCATACTTACTAGCTGTTCACGCATGAATAAATTTATTCATTAAAAATGTACTCATCTTTACTAATGTTATAAAGAGGAAAGATTTAAATTTCTGTATTTATGTGATAACTACTGGGCCGATTTTAATAATTCTCTCACCAATAAAAAGATAATTTATCTGTGAGTAACATACGCTATGTTTTTTTATTAATTTTACGCGAACGAAGTCGCGACCAACAGCTAGTAAACAAATTAACTTAAAAACTGTTTAAATAAGAAATTAATTAAAGAACCTACAAAGGTCTACGAAGAAAAGTTCGTAGCAGTTTCAACATTTCATGTCTACGATCATCAAATTAAGAATAAAAATTTAATGACATTGCTTCAATTTGACACTTTTTATTTGTAAGTCAAGGTCATCACGATCAGCTGAATTTGCCCAATGATTTTTGTAGCACGATATGTCAAGTCAATATTATACAACATACATCACACTATTTACTTATTCAACTTTTGTAATTCAAAAATATGTGTATAACGCTCAGTTCTGTATGTATTTTATAAAATACTAGCTGTTGCTCACGACTTCGCCCGCTAGAAATTTAAAAAAAAGTAATAAAAAATATAGCCTACGCGACTCAGTGATAACATAGCTTTTTAATGGTGCAATTTTTGACACGGTTCAGTAGTTTTTGAGTTATTTCAATACATACAAAAGATAAAAATACAAATCTTTCCTCTTCATAATATTAGTATAGACATACAGAACTAAATAAACTAACTAAATATTAATCTTAAACAACTAATTTTTACAAATTATATACAATTGTAAGTTAAAATTCAGTAATCGAAAATAAACGAAAGTTTTATTTTGACTTAAGGGTCTCATCAATTCAAAAACTTAATTTATTAATATAAATGAAACCATTTTTCTGCTTCAACACAAAACACTACAAAGTATATAAAATAATTTTCGAATAGAAGGTTCAGTGTACAAATAGCAAATGAGAGATTTGTAAATAAACCTAATTTACACACAACAAATAAATCCCTATCTAAAACTCTTAAGGTTACATTTCAATCATATAAATGAAGTAAATATATAAATCATTATAATTTTCAAATCCAAACTCGATATCCTGTTGATAATATAACTGTCAGCTAGGCGATAACAGAAACAACCTCCAATGTTCAGATTTCACCAAAACGTTACGTGTGACACCAAAGAGATTCAACAAATATAGAGAAGGCATAGTTGACACAATTGAAACATGTTTCAAATAATCCCCAAAAATAAAAAATAATTATGTAAAATGTTTTTTTACATGTCAATAGACACGAGATGACAACTGATATAGTACCTTTCAAAGAAAGTACCAGTGAAAAGATGTTCACTGTGCCTTGTCTACATATTTTAGATGCCTTGGATTGTCAAACAATATTTCAAACCTGAAGAACAGCCTACGCAAAAATGGTACACCTAATTTAACCAATTGTTATGAAAATTTAACCCTTATTCCTTGCATATCAAAGTGGTAGTTCGTTTGTATTGTTGTGAACTAAAAGCATTCGCTTTCGTACATTGTAATTTCAATTAATACTTGAACGGTAAGTACAGACAACAATTAACAAGGGGCTGCGACGGACGACCAATTTACACGACGCCTACGCGACTCTGAAAGTCAAACGAGGTTAACATAAATGCAGGAAGACAGGTGTTAAAGATTACTCCGTGCAACACGTTGGTGACGTAATCATCCTATTATCATTGTTAACAGCGGCTTTGTAACATTTTACGTGTTTAGTTGACAGGTGGCTTTTTTGTGTAAGCCTTTTCAAAAATCCACTGCTCTCAGCTGCGCTCTGCGCTCTTCCCCGCATCCCTATACGATATTTCGATCCGTACTGTTCTCTCATAGTACTATAGTATAGTACAGTATACTATAGTTCTGTATAATAACTATAGTACACTTTCATAGTATTATACATTACGATTAACACTAAGTCGTAACACAGTCGATCAGTTTAAATGTGCAGCGACTAATTTATTCAAGACTATAAAAAATATTTTTAGCAATTTCTTATGTCTATTCTTCCACGTTGTCTTTAAGTCCAAAGACAACTGTACAGTTAAACTTACAGTTAAATTATATCCACACAGTTTGATTGTTCAATTAAAACTATGGAAACTGATCGTCTATGGCTCGTTTTGTAATTGTAGATTCATTTGTTTCTTATGATCAAGATATTTAGTACCTCTCATAAAACTAAATATTACTTCACATAGAAATATAATCGTTATGTCAAAGATGATTTAATACGGAGGCATTTGTAATTAAAACTTTTTAATCATGTGTAAAGTCAACTTTCTCTTTAAATGCTTGGTGATATTAAAAACTACGTTCACTTGTTTCATTTTTTTTATTAGAATACGTATTAATCAGGAATTTTTATTTATATCTTAATTTAAGAAAGTAATGACGTTGAATGACTACAAAGTAGAGATCGATTGTAAAGAGAATGTGGGTAAGAAGGGAATGAATTCAAATATGGTTGACAGAGATGTATGTAAGAGTACATCCTGTGCCTCTAAGAAAAAATATAGGATGTTTAATATAGGTTTGTTTTACAAAAAAATAGATCAATCTGAATTTAAAAAGACAGTTGAATAAAAACTGTAGAAGGTAATGTAACGTTTACGTCACAACACTCCATTTGGTCGTGTTAATAAATTCTGACATAACTTGTAAGTCTGTTTAAATAAAATATAAAATTGTATTTGCTGTTCCCATGACAACGGCAATCGGTTACTTAACAAGTTACTATTAATCTGTTCACTATACTAATTGTTTTATATTTAATGAGGTTAAAATTAAGAAAAAAAAGTTGTTAAACCACCTGATTTTATAAAATAAATATGACCTAAATTAAACAAATAATGGAAGAGAAATGCAAGATGTAAGACAGGAATCTTCTTCTATCTTCGCCTTTTCCTAGTTATTTGGGTTCGGACTTCCTTGTCCTAAGTTTCCAGACAGCACGAATCTTAGAGACTTGTTCGTCAAGTTTTATTCCTTTCATATCCTTTCGGACCGTCGTCAGCTAAGTGGTAGGTGGTCTTCTGCGAGTTCGTGTCATTGTCGGCATGTTTAAGATTAATTTGACCATGTGTTCTTCAGGTCGTAATCGATCAGGTCGTCGGAT